GCGCGCGCGCGAGGTGAGGGTGTGGGAAAGTCACTGTCCGAACTCAAAATTCCAGCGTGCCCCAGCACGGAAAGCGCATAAACGTGGGAAAATCAATAATAAGCAAGCTGCGCCACAGGACCGAAGGGGCGTCGACTGGCCAGAATAACAGGGTTGGAGACTCTGGGGGTGGCTACCAGATGTCCTTTACTTGGAGCCTCGCGAGGGCCTCGCTGAGCCCCGTAAACAAACTTAATTTCGAACTGCATGTGTACATTTTTTGCAAAACAAAAACAAGGGTGACAGTATTAAAGACAGGAGCTCAGGTTTTGAATGCCAATCAGTCAGGGTCTCGCGCACGGCAGAAGACCGAAAGCTGACATCGATGGTGAACTCAAAGCTTTGACTACTTTACCTTCCGATCTGGACGACGCCGACAAATGTACACCATGGTCTGTTTGCTTTTTATTACCTCTCTCTGTTAAGAACACAGACACCGACCTAAAATACCACACTAAGCGTTTGAAATCCAAGTGCACGCAGGCAGCATAGAGGGGACCCGACACATCGTCTGTATACGCAAACCACAAGTACTGAGCAAAAAGATCGGCTGGTAATAGAACTAGACTTCACGACCTGGTGGTTAAAACCCATTCCGCTTCTGGTTGAGGGAAAGCTTATGTCTAAAGTTTCAAGTGTTCGAGTTGGTACTGGGAAAAGCTGAAGGCCAGACAATTAAGCAGTTAAAAAACGCAAGAACCAGCTCTCTCAGTACACAGAGCAGAGCAGGGGTAAATGGAGGGAAAAGTGTGCTTTGTAAAGGTTTACAAAAGTCCGAATGGAGGCGTATGAGTTAGCGGGCGTGAGATCGAGTCTATGTGTCGAGCTAAGGCTAGGAATCGGCAGATACTCTAAAACAAAAATAACTCTCACTCCGTCAAGTCCACAATCAGTCTGTGATAGTCAATTTAAAAGAGACTCCGTTGCTTTAAAAAATCACAAAATAGAGGCTGTCTTCAGTCCAAATTTGGCGAAATTTCAATAAACGGGTTGGGGTAAACTGTGATCATCCTAGAATATCCTCAACCAAGAAGTCAACACCCTGAATCAATAAACACATGGGGAGAAAGCAGTTGAGTGATTTAAAATGACTGCTTAGTCCGCTGCACGCGAAACTTGGTCGTGACTCGAGAGTAAAGGGCAAAATAGATAGTTTTTTTTAGATTCCATAAGTTGAGATCAGCTAACCTTTGCGGGCGTCTGCTGGCTCGAAGCAGGTTGGCTTAAACATTTGGCAGCTAGGGTCTGTGGACAACTGCCAACGACAATCGGGCTGTTAGCCGAAAAGACGCCACTGAGGAGTTTCTGCTGGATCTGGTAAATGAGCGAGGCTGGAGACTGAGCAGCCTCAAGCAAATCAGGCAGCTGAGAGACAAGCGCTGCAATCTTTAGATAGTCTGCAGCCGAAATGGTAGTACGTCCACAACTGTCGCTGCTGTTGCTGTTGTTGTTGGTGGTGCTGGCATCAGTCACGGTGGTGGCAGCCAAGTCTGGTGCCGGTTGTTCGGCAGACAAGTTGAATCCCTTCAGGACAGCCTCGGCGGCTGCTGCTGCGCTAGTAGGAGAGGAAGTCTGTTGATGCTGTTGCTCGACAACTGCCGGGGTCTGCAGTGGGAAGGGAAGTCCAGTAGGGTTGGCGCCGGGTGAGGACTGGAGCAGGGAGCGTGCGATCGCCACTGAAGTTAAATCGCCAACAAGGGGGTTGGCCGGCGTCGGCGGTTGGGAGGCGGAGAGAAGGGCTCCGAAGGCTGCAACTGAGGGCGGCAAGGAGATGCCCGTGGCCGGGAAGAGGTCCGGGGTCAGCCCAGAGCGAGCAGAGGCGGCGAGATAGTCCGCAGCAGAAGGTGCTGAGGCAGCAGCAACAGGGGAAACGAAGCCCGGCGCGGACACAACAGCCGTAGTACGACCGGCAGCGTACGAGTCCTCACCTGACTGCGGGACAGAGGTGGTGGTTGTAGTCACAATGGCAGGAAGGAGGGCGTTTAAGGAACCAGTGCCGTTGGCTGCAGCGGCCGCATGAATAAGAGAGGTGAAGGCGAGGTTGGATGGCAGCCCCGTGCAGTTTACCGTCGTGGAGCATTGTGAGGGATCGGTGGGGGCAACAGAGGTACTGAGTCCAGAGAAACGAGAGGTCTCCGAGCTCGTGAGGCCAGCGACAGCGGTTGTGGGAGGAATTGAGCTGCTCTCCTCACGAGAGCAAGGCAAAAACGCGGAAGCTGAGCTCGACGGTGCGGTCACGACTACGGAACTCGGCTAGAAGAAGCGAAACGGTCACATTCAGCGCAGGCGACGAGACGAATGAGTGCTCGATGGGCACGCGAATAGACTTGAATATTCGGATAAAAACGTGCCGGGGGACGAGAAGTCAGCTGTTTGTATTGACGAGAAAATGCCAAACGTGTCGATTACCTTAGCAGATACTACGGTGGCGAGGGAAGAAATTCGGAACCCATATCGAACGAGCGAAGACTTCGTGGCGAGAAAAGGACGAGACGTAATGACGGCCGGCGTTAACTGTGAAACTACTGGCACCTTACCATTCGTTGGCGCCGAAACTCTGTTTTTATCAAATGATCAGTTATTCTGCGTGGCACCAGGTCTCCTGAGCCAATGGAAACTGGCTAAGAGTGCCGAGTACGGTTGAAAAAGCTTGCAGGTTTCGGTGAATTTCATGACAATAAGGAAGGTTTGTGGGAATCGTGCTTTTTACAGATACCGAAGTATTATTTTTATTGGTAGTTGAGAATCTCTCCTCACTTTCTACGTTTCAAACGGCTGCCAATCGCGTTCCATTCGATTTCTGGGAACCACACACAACAAGTCTGTGAATAACCCTCTCCGAGAGGTTGACAAGAAACTCTCGTTACAGATTTAACCAATATACTTTAGAAACGTCAAAATACCCCCTGGCTGCAACCTTTTAATATAAGAGAGATCGAAGTCGCAACAGCTTAAGACTAGTTGACTCCAGTTAAATTGGAAGAGTTACACGGGACAGTGATTACCTACGTATTTTTCATATTTACAGTGATTTCACTTTCGTTTGAGACCAAATGCTGGTCAGGCGGCATGGAAATGGGCGGCCCAATAGACAGAAACGGTGGAAAACTTTCCTGCAGTTAACGCCAAAAGCCTTTGCCCCCACTAAACTAAGAGAAAGGTGGACAAAAGGTAAATGATAACTTCTAGTCCACACAAATGTCCACATAAAACGCCCACTGCGCATGCAGGACAGTCACTATTCAGACTGCATATGCATTTATGTAACACCCGGCCTCCTGAACATCGAGTCCCAACTATGTGTGCAAACGAGATCGACAGATGTCTCATTCTACACTGGATAACGCGAAAAGAACAAAGAACGGAAGAATCCTGGGTATCAGCGTGGTAGGGCGTACTCTAAGTCAAAGTAAGGAACATAAAATAAATGAAAACAGGCTGTGAACTCAGAAATGCGCGGCTTACGTCGGAAAATCGACCGGCTATCTGCATAACTGCGTCATCTGAAACAGTACATGCTGCCGCAACGGGAGAGGAGCGGAGGGATTCCGAGATAAGGGATACTGGAACCTTACAGAGGCTAGCAGTGGTTGTTGTTGTGTTGCTATTGACGTTACCAGCGAAGTGAGCAAGGCTGGTATTTTTCGGATTCATTACGGGCCAGACACCCCAGTTTCCAATGGGCACCTGAGTCGGTAGGCCGGATACGTTGTGCCAGGGACTCTCCATGCGGGGACAGGCCGCTAGGTTACCGCCGCCCCCACTACTGCTAGTAGGCGGGGTTGAGGAGGTGAAGAGGCGTGGATCGTGTAAGGACAGACCGGTACCCAGGGAGGTCCGCGAGCAGCGTGTTTCCGGTCTTGCCTCAACGGTGCCATTATTTGCTGAGGTAGCAGCAATGGTTGAGAGAGCCGAAAGGGAGTCATTAACTGCAGTGGCGATGGTTGTTTGAATTGAGAGACCATTGAGGAGGGACCTCGCCGCAGCTACAGCAGCCTGGTTCAGGGGTAACTTGAGAGGTCCACTGGTCTGAGGAGAGCAGGAACCATTCCTATCAGGGATGGAATCCGAAGGACAGGAATCACCGGCTGTCGTCGTTGTCGTCGCATCACATACTGCCTCTGTTGGGGTGTCTGCCGTCTGTGGACTGGCAGAGCCGGGAGTTGTCTTAGCCGGTGCTGAAGAATTTGAAGAGGCGGTCTTGTATCGGTTGTTCGGGAGTTGGATGTTGTTTTTGCGGACAAAGTCGCAGAGAGAGGATTTGGCCAGATTATAGCGTTGAGCTGCCTTGCGCATCGAAATTGACTGACTTAGGACGTCATTCACAGCCAGCAAGAGGAGTTCCCTGCGCTCTCCAGGTTTGTGTCTCGGACGTTTGGCGGGAGAACTAGAGGCAGTGGCAGAAGTAGACGCTGAAAGTGGCGGCGACGAACGAGCGGATTTGGAGTCAATTGGCTGAAATGTGACTGTGGAGAGATCACCCGAATCCACGACAGCTGTACCTGCGGCAGGAAGTACATCCATTTTTGACTCTAGACAAGACGGTGATGTTGCCGAGGGGACCTCAACCTCCTCCATGGGCTGCTGTTGCGGTGGTTGTGACTGCTGTAAACCGCCAAAAATGCAGTTTTGGAACGACTGCGGGGTGTCGGGGGCCGATGGCTCAACCTTAGCACTGGCAGGGGACACCGCAACTGCGGAGATGGCGGCCAGGCTTTCACGATCGTGTGAATGGGCACCGCGACTGGGGATACTGGCGGAACAATTGGGAACTGGATCCATACTCGCCATAGAGTTACCAGCAAATGAGAGTAGCCGAAGTAAGCTGCTACGGCACGGGTGTAATACGGATGGCCCACGCACCAGCCAATAAATAGGTCAGACAGAGGCGTTCTCTCACTCTCTCTAGGCGTGAGTAGAGCAAAGTAGCGAGCGAGCTGATTCAACCGCAGACGTCGTCTAGTGCGCCAGAGGCGGCGGCGGCGGTGCAATAGAGCAAAGTTCGGCGATGCCAGTCTGCGCCCAAACAGCACACAGCATCTGCGTGTGTGTGTGTGTGCACGTGAAGAGCGCAACTCAGTGGGCGGACTTTGAGTGTTACACACCATTGGCTGACTGATTGTGCAGCCAGAGCCACAGAAAAGAAGAGGGGCGACGAAGGAGAGGGGGGGCGTGACAGCCGATATAATTTTAACTAGGGCCGGCCACTGTGTGAAGTGCGCGCAAGCGCGCCGCAGATGTGTGCTCAAGCTGTCAGCTGCAGTGCAGTGTGCGCGCAACAGGCCCTGCGAGTGAGCGCGATTAGTACTGCGTGTGCACGCACCCCGACGGCTACGGCAGCGACGATGGCGTTGGTCGTACGGCCGCACTAACAAGAGTGGTGAAGTGCCGGAGGAAATACGTGGCAGAAGATGTAAGTACTCATTCTGCAGCAGTTCAGCGCTGGGGGTATGTCATGGCTTGCCTTTCAGAAGTAACATCCTCATAAAAAACGCAAGTTTCTAGAGACCAGGAGTGGCCGCGTTCAGATTGTAACTGTGCAGACGATGCCATCGTCGGAATATCCGGTTTCTGAGTTGAACTCCAAAAGCACAGTACATAAAGAGAGTACGGCAGTTATAGGGTGTCATTGTGTAGCCGCCGGTGGACACGTCGATGTTTGGCCATCACCTGTCAGTACTGTCCAACCACGCGACCAACCCACCAAGCCGGATTTACGACAATTTTTAAGTCCAGCAGAGGTACATCGGCCGACACAGATTAACCAGTTCAAGCAAGCATTTCGACCGGGTAGTGTCGAATGAGTCACAGCTGGCAAATTAACGTCATCCCTCGTCACCGCTGATCGTCGCCATTAGAAATAACTTCTCTGCTTCCCTAATTTAGTCTTCTGCAAATGCGCCGGACGCAGTAATTGACTACTGTGCCATGCCGCAGTATTAGATCTTTCGGCCTGAAAACTCGACATCGGTAGATGGCCTTGGAAGTTTTGCGAGACTGAGAATTTTGCGAAGGTGACTGAGGGTTTCTCGAACATTCCCAATATGTGGACCTATCGCCCTGAATTTAGTCATGACGCCGTCCAGTTTTCTATCCTCTTCTTAGGTGTGTCGATAGCCATTCGTTCTAAATGCGCATCGAGGATGCTGTGATTAAGTAATCATGTATTCCCCTTCACGGTAGTGAGTCTCATAGCACTGATAGAAGATCATTAAATGACTGCGGTTCTGACTGACTGGACACTACTCACTCAAGTTCAGTAATGGAAGGGATTTGCTGACTTCCATGAATTTCGTTTGCGACGGACACAAACTCTCCAGCAAACGAAGACGTAGAAGGTTGACCAACTTTCCTGCATCTTCGCCCCAAAATGCGTAATGATAGTTCTGTGGCAGTCTTTAGATGTCAGCTCGAGTATCACGCGCTAGTCGATTTAATAAAGTTTGTCTGCTTTTTCCAGACACCAGTGCCCCCAACCTTGGGAAAACCGTCTCAAGCATCACAATCCTGAGTTGAGCGATCCGCGGGATTATAGAGAAGTCTTATGCTCGTCCTTGTTCTTCTGTGAAAGGCAACACATGTTTTGAGACAGGACATAAGGGACTCAGCACCTTGATTGTTCGACCAAAGGTCAATACGTCCAACTAAAACCCCTTATAGAGAACCTATAAATCAGCATGCTTTCGATTAATATGATGGACCCGAAGGCGAATTTCTCCCTGTGAACCATGATAACGTCAGAGAATGCAAAATAATGCATGCGGTCCTCGACGAAAATGCGAAAAACATGCTTTCCACCGTGTCCACCCCTGGGTTTTAATCGACAAGGTCATTCGAAAGAAGTTCTAAAAGAGCAGATGGGGAAGCAGACCGCGCAGCTCGCTAACCGCGGCTGGAGTTCGACTGTTTGGAATTTCACGCCCAAATAAGTTTGACAAACAGTGGCTGGTGTCGGTTCCACTGAGATGTGAGATGCCTTTGTTTTGGAAGCGTATCGAAAATTCAAGGACTATGAATGAAGAAAAAGCCTCCAACTGTGAATTCAACACCGTTCACCTAGGGATCTTACGAATTCGCGATAAAAACCTTTTTTCCTCTGTTTCTGTTAAGAACCGTGGATCGCGATTTTGATGACTGTATGTGCAGAGCAAAGTGATCGCTTTTACCGTTTTTCCTCTTTTTCGGCACATTGCTCAACAGTTATACTTAAATTTACAGGGCGGCCGGAACACGCACTACACGTACAAGCGTTGCTGGTGTCTCGTGAGAGGACGTAAGTGGTCATAGAGACCTGCGTAAGCTTACGGGAATGGTGGTCGGCGCGCCTTTTACAATTTAAACGAGGCGAAATCATAGGTTCCTGGTATAAATACTCGGAATGCTGTGATTCTCCTTTCTAAACATGCCACAAAGAAATAAGAATCTCGAGTAAGCTAGTTAACAGGCGAGACAGGTAGGTGCAAGAAAATACAGCTTCCGGACGAACTCAGTTTACCAATGTTTCAATTTGTCAGTCGTTCACCTTGAAACAGTTTTTATCGTGATTTGGGCCTCAGCGGGAGCCCTGGCAACGCTTGTGAAAAGCTATTTGCTGGAGGCTGCATAGGCGATGCGGGGGGAGGAGGAGGAGGTCACTTGGGTCATCGTGGAAAGGGAGTGATGGAAGCAGTTGCAGAACGGATAAGACCTGGTTACGTTGATTTAGAAGCCGGGCCTTATGTAGTTTCGACTGTAGACATACATTTGATGGCGCACGGCAACGCTAAACAAAACCCGCCGTGAGGTCACTTTGTCGAAAGCAGTATCCTTCGGAGGGTGCGATTACGCAGAGCGACTGAATGCGAGGACAAAACGTAGTAGCGCCGCTTCACTTGTGCTCTTCTCACTAACTCATGTAGAGACAAATATATGAAGGAGTGGCGTAAAATACACCTGCCACCACTAGACGCCCACAGGCGGTCGGGGTGACGTAAGAACGCAAGCTACTTCGAATGGGTGATCGTTTTTCCAAGCAACGTCATCACATAAATTTGAGTACTGCCACCTTGATAATGATTTTTCATCGTGTGTCATCAATCGTTCCGCTGCTAACTTTGCATTGAAGTCAAATACTTTGGCTGTGCGCATAAATTCCGCCTAATAGCCGAAAATTACTTCGGAAAAAATTGCCTCCGTCGGCGATGACCGTATCGACGGCTGCTCTTTACAAAACGAGTGAAGCGCACTTCAGCGCCCACACCCAACAACCACACAGGGAGTACGTCGGCCTAACACGAAAGAGGCAGGCATACTAAACCTCACCTTGGAGGTTAGTCTGTCATACTCGGCGACAAAACTGGCAGATACCCGGTCGTAGTCGCCATCTGGGTGATAGGTGGATGCTTGGATGGTTGGTGATGTGGTGTGGTCTGGAGGCATCTGACGTATTCAAGTCCATCCACAAATTTTTCGTCCACAGTAAAGTAGCATGGATGGCCCTTGCTGCAGGAAAAGTGCTGTAGGTGGTTGTGGTCCAACCGGGAATCGGGGTGGTGTGACAGGTCCAGAAGGTGAAGCAGGATAAGTAGTTTGGATCGCCGTGTGTGAAACACGGGTTCTTCAGTTGTTCCAACAAACACTCCATCCATCGAGCCCCAGGCCGGAGTCAGACGTCTCATGTGTAGACGGGTTAGCGTCATCTACTCCGTTTTGGTTAAGTGCTGTTGACTGAGGTCGCGTAGCTTCTGAAGTTTGTGTTGTGAACTGCGGTAACCGGATTGGTGTGAAGGTAGCATCGACTGTGTACGACGAGCCGACCGATCAGGGCCCGCAACGTGCGTCCAAAAGGTTGGCAGGCAGAGAGATGTTGTTGGACGTTTAAGATCTAGTGCTCATTTTGTCGCTGGCGTTGTGGCGTCCGAAAAGGCCAGTGGGAGTAAGAACAGATGAGGAGAGGTTGGACGCCGACAGATATTTTTATCGAGATTTGACCACGCATTTTACCCCGCTTTCAAGTTATTATTGTAGTACTGTTTCCGTCCTCCCTATCGATGTAAATTGTAAATATGTCAATAAAAGTCATTTTGATGGGTATTGGCCGGTTATTATCGCAACTAAGGGCATCACAGCGGGACCAAAGTCTCGATGGGAGGGTTGAGCTGGTGATTTTTCGAGGAACGACAATTTTTCAATGTCGCATCTAACGACACAGCACTAATTCCCATTCCTCTCTAGAGTAGTCTGTTTTTGACTGGGGTAACACTCCTGGAGGCATTTTGATAACAGTAACAAGAAAAGACCGGGTAGCTGGATCCAAAAGCCAAGCGGATGATGTATATTGCAGGCATTAGACCAAAATCACAAAATATTCTTGGGTTATTAAACGTAAGGAATCCACAGAATGGAAAAGTAGTGTACAGACGACTACCGACTATATTTACTTGCGAGTTTAAAAGTGCCCGACGACCGGCTGATCTAGGATGGTGATTTGTTTTATTTGCGAAGAGATCGGCATGGGCATCCCACAGATCTACCCCTCTCAGTTTTTGAGATACCTCAGAGTGTAATAT